CACTGACGCAACTGGTGCGATAATGCAGAAGATGACAATTAATTAATACACGTAATCGTGTGTCATCCTATATGACTATACATAAACTACTAGAAATGATATGCATAAACACATACGAATGATGGCGATAAATGAAAACTCATAATCATACATTATTCTACTGGACTATACACACATCAATAAAAATGATACATACACACCTATACATTGACAGAAATGATACACTGAGAATGAAAATTGTGTATCAGTGTGAACGATGACAATTAATGGTTACACATATTCGTGTATTACCTTACTTGGCTATACATATATATTAGTACAAATGATACACTTAAACACTTATGCATTAATGGAAATGAAATACTGAAAATGGCACTTATACATTATGCGATAGATGAGGAATAATGGTAACACGTAATCGTGTATCATAAGTGGCTATACATACAGTAATAGAAATGATACACTTATGCATTAATATACATTTATAACATGGTAAATGATGCATTTATACATTAATAGAAATGGTACACTGACAATGATATTTTCACATTAATACGAAAGATGACGATTAATGATAACACATAATCCTGTATTATCCTACTGATCTATGCGTACATGAATAGAAATAAGACATTTTAGACACCTGTAAGTTGACAGAAATGTTGCACTGAGTGTAATGCTTGTGCATCATTGCGAGAGATGGCAATTAATATATACACATAATCGTGTAGCGTCCTACGTGGCTATACATACATTAGTAGAAGTGCTACACTTAAACATTAATACTAGAAACGACACAATGAAGATGATACTTGTGGATAAATATGAAAGATGACTATTAATAAAAATACATGGACATAAATTATCCTACATGGCTACGTATACATTATTAGAACTGAAACCTTTAACACCTATACATTAATAAAACTGATACACTGAATTGTGTATTAATGCGAAAAATGACAATTAATGATTATACATACTCGTGTGTTATCCTACATGGCAATATAGACATTAGTATAAATGATACGCTTAAACATTGATACATTACTACAGAAGATGCACTGAAAATGAATCTTGTACAGTAAAACGATATATGACGATTAGTCATAACACATAATCCTGTGTTATTCTACATGGCTTTACATACATAGACAGGGATGGTCCACTTAAACGAATGATGTGCGTTGGATACAAAAGTGCGTTGATCTAGATAGTTAAAACTAAAGTAATGGTATGCAACAATTATTGGTGATGATACTGGTAATTAATGGTAATGAATTGACAATTAATGACATAGGTAATTAATGACAATTAATGACATAAGTAAGAATGAGTGACAATTAATGAAGGTACGATACATAAGCACATTGCCGTAGGTACATTGGATATAAAGGTTGGTTATGTGGAAAGGATAGAGTTGTGGTTAAGCCGAATCACACAAGTCCTGGCCTAATGCTTGCAGTCTGTCCATAATACTTTCGAGTTTTTTAAGTACAGCTGGTTGGCGAATAAAGAATCTTTTATAGGCTGGATCTGTGCTGTAAAACGGCATGTGCCACTCTCGTGTTAGTGGGCAGGAGGTGACATAATGGTCAGGGCTACCTGGCTGGCCACACACACAGATGTTGGTGTTTGTTTATTCTTCGCTCTAGAAAATATTCCGGGAATGGACCATGACCCGTTATAAATCTAGTGATGTGTGGTTGAGATATCTGTCTGTCAAGGCTGACTTTGTGAGCGAATTCGTAGGTCCTTCTTCCTTGCGGAATAGAATTCTACTCTTCCTGCCATTGCTTGAGTGCGGCGTTTAGAACAGCCTTCTTTATATAGGATTTTGGTAATTTTATTGCCAGTTGTTCCGCATCGAGATTGCTCGCGGCTTCTTTGGCTAGTAAATCTGCCTCCTCATTTCCCTGGTGTCCAGCGTGTGCTTTAATCCAGAAGATGAGGATGCGTCCTTCGTGCTGGTGCAGGGTTTGCTGAATGCGCCCTATGATGGGCGACCTGTGAAAAGGATTCCGAATTGCATGAATTGCTGACAGGCTGTCGGTGTGTATTTGTGCGGTGGAGTAGCTAAATTGACTCGCTGCTAGGATTGCCTGGCGTATGGCTTCGGCTTCCGCCTGAAAGACTGAGTTGCCTGCGCCCAGAAAGCCTTTCCAAGACCTTAAGGTGCTTCCATTTCGTTTGATGGTATAGCTACAGCCAGTCGTTCCATTCAACTGGGAGCCATCTGTATAAATCTTAAGGGCATTAGAGTGATCATTGTTGCCTTCAAGCTTCAAGTGTCAATCACTGGGAATATCCAAGTGCGCCTTGGGAACGCATTCACGTAGATTTTGCAAGCCCTTTTTTTGAACAAATGTTCTTGATTATCATTGACGCACATTCTAAATGGCTAGAAGTGTATACCTTAAAGTCAAATTCCTTTCAGACAATTGAATGTTTGAGAGACTGTTTTGCAAGATACGGACTGCCTTTAGTAGTAGTGAGTAACAATGGTCCTCAGTTCACATCGAGGGAATTTGAAACTTTTATAAGGAATAATGGAAATAAACACAAAAAGTGTGCTCCATTTAAACCAGCAAGTAACGGGTAAGCAGAACGGTACGTTTACACCGTTATACAAGCATTACGCGCAATGCGAGGTTATCCAGGAGAAATATTAAGCAAAAACTTGCCATATTCCTCATGAACTATAGAAAGGCACCGAACATTACAACCTTTTTAAGTCCAGCAATGTTATTATTAAAAAGAGAAATTAGAACTCGAATTGATTTAGTTGTTCCAAATCTATGGCAACGTGAAACCACAGTCTCCGGAAAAGGACATTGAATAAAGCAAGGAGGTTAAAATAGAAGGAGGGAAGGTTCAGCTCAAACGGTGAAGCTTGGCGGCCATCTTCCTGTACCGTGACTTGTGCAAGGAAATCTGTCATTGCAACATTTTTTTCTTTTCTTTTTGAAGTATGTCAGCTTGTATTGCATATGGATGCACAAATAGATTCTCGAAAAAAATTCCGGGCATTATTTTTCACACGTAAGTATTCAATTTTCTTTTTTTATGTAATATGACAACTATATAAAAAAATATCACAATGTCATGTGGTTTTCTTTCCAGATGTGAAAAAAAAGGGACTTAAATAATCAAAATAGGTTATTTAATATAACTATAATCAAAATATATTAAATACATTTCAATGTTTCTGTTTATAGCTGGTATCTTCGTTACCTTAAGATACAATGCTATATGGTAGGACTTTAAATTGTATAATTTGAACGTTTTAGTTAATTCGTTTTATAACTTTCATGAAAAGTAAGAAATCAATTGTTACTATTTTAAATTGTTACAATTAATAAATTGTAAAGGTGTTAAATAAAGCAATGCTTTTCTTTATATATTAATTATTATTCATTTTTTTAAGTTAAGATAAACTGTTCTGTTGTTAAAAATTTTTGCATAAACTTACAAATTTCTGGGCAGTATAGTGATAAAATTAAGTAAAATATTTACACAATTGAACATGTGGAAAGATGTATCCAAAAACTTATATAGGTGTATTTCTGTAATTCAACTTAATTAAAAGCAGTTTCTTTGAGATTAATAAATATGAAATGCGCATAAACTGAAATCAATGAATTCACATAAATCCGTTTTATTTTATTAAGATTTATTTTCTAACCTAAGCAAATCCGTGAAATATGCAGAAACATAGTTTTTTTAAAGGCTTTAATGTTATGCGCATGCATTTAGATTTCGAACTATTTCTTAATAATTTGCTGTACATAGTAAATTATGGATATCATCTTTATTACTTTAAAACAAAAATTCAACAATAGCGAGGGATTTCATTATAAATTTAACATATTTTTACTGGAAAATAAATGCACGGAACAGCTTAGAAACACGTACATGTCACTGCCGTAATGCAATGTTTTGTCACAAATCAAGTCACAAACATGGACGCCGCTTGTTCGGCGGAGTTTCATTCCCCGATAGTGGAGGAAACTACGAACCCTCCCTCCTTCTATTCTAACCTCCTTGGAATAAAGAAGTGAAACTGTACAAACTTCAGCCAGGCTTGAAACCTCTTCAGTTTGAAAGAAAACTGAGCCAGTCATTCCAGTGAATCCTGATAAAGAGTTGCAGCAATCCCAGCCTGAACTTAGACGATCTTCGCGGATCCGCAAGGCTCCTCAGAGATTGAATCTCTAAATAAGTGGGGCGGAATGTACCATCTGATTTCGAGAATATCAGTACTCTTATACCCGAGAAACTCTGTGAACGAGAGTAGAGTAGAATGTAATGTAACTGCGTAAATAACGCATCGCTGCTGTTTTATGAGTTAGTTAGAAATAAATGTTTGTGCCGTGAACTAGTCTGTTTTGATTGCGTCATGCACTTCACTGAACCCACCGCTAGACACAACAGATGCAGTTTAGACTTATGGTGCTATTTTTAAGACAGAGAGAGTAAGTTTCCAAATTAAATAAAACTAAAAGAGGTTATAGCCAATTAAAATTAGAAGTTTGCTTTTATATCTTTTTATCTTACATATATATAAGATAGAAGAGTAAAGCCGTAGCTAAGTTTTCGAAAGCCGGGGACATTTCAAGATTTTGCCTTCCATCTTGTTTGCCAAGAATGGAGAACATTTAATTCTAAAATTCCATTATGGCGCCATCGAGATGCTGCACCCGGGAAAAGATGTTCCTTTTGTTCTCCCTGTAGCAGAGACATTAGTGAAATTCTTTGAGACAGCCGTTAGAGGTACGAAAGTATGCAAGGGGGAGTTCAAATAAAATTCTTTAATGAATATTTATACTATATTTGAAAGAAGAAAATTCTTCGTTTGCCTGCGAATGTAGATATTCTTAACATCTGAGTACTGCTTGGAAATACAGTAGTTCGAAAACAAATTTAGTGCACATTAAAATCGTAATAGAAATTTCTTATGCTCATAGTTTTAATCTTATTAACATTTCATATTTTGGATAAATGCAATAAAAATCGTTTTGAAATGAAACATTATCTTTCTAGCAGCAGATGGCAACAGTGTATTTCTGACTTTGTTTACATCATATGTTTTGAACTTCGCAATACGATCCCCGAGATTCGAGTGCTTGATTGTGCACCGTGCAATTATGGGAATATTGAAGAGAGCGATGAGTGATATGTTTAGTAATCAATCTGCAGAAATGTAATGCTTATTGCTGATATATGGCTGGTAGAATTTATGTGGACAAAATGGGTGATATGATTAATGACGGTAAGAATTCCACTGCTTATGCATTAAAATTTGGGATGTTTTCGTATTCTTATTAATGATTTTTAGAATTGGACAGAGAAATTTAAAAAATAACCTTCCTTTATATTTAACATTTTTGGCTTTTTTTTATTTTACCGTTAAATTCGGTAAAATGGGAAAAAATAATTCAAATAAATATTATAATTTAAATTGATTGTTTGTGTTTTAAAATGTATTTTTATTTCTTTCAGAACAAATTGTTATGACTCCTACGAAACGGAGTAAAGATCATACTACGGTAACGATGGAAAGGTTGAAAGCATCTGATATGGACCAAAATAATATTATACATATTGGTGGAGGTGATCACAAAGGCATTGTAATATATAAAGAACCAGGAGCTGGTAATTTATGCAAAAATAAGTTTTTTAATTAATAGTATTCTATGGAAGTAGTCATCTGCTTAAATAATGTTTAAGATATAGATCAAGTTCATATATATTTAGCAGTTAAACTATTTAATTTGTTGTATAAAAAAGAAATTGGCTTGGATTTGGAAGAATTTTTGTTTGCATACTTTTGTGTATGTGTGTTAATAAGATTTTATAATAATATATTCATACTGTTTAATAATAATCTAACCCAGAAATTATTACATTTTTTATTGCATGGACCCCCTTTGAAAGAATGGTTTTCTTCATTGCTCCCCTTACTTGTTTCTACATAATATGTAGGATTCAACATAATTATAAAACAAATAATTAAACATAAATAACTTAAGCTAGTAATTTTATTAAGAGTATAAACAAAAATTTTGAAATACAAAGTTCATTAAATGTGTTTTTTATTATTTTTTCTATTATTAAATTTTTTAATTTGACAAATATAGGCAAGTGTTCAGAAAGAAAATCACAAATGCTAATTAAACAGTTGTTCAATTGTAATTAACCCTCTAAACGGCAAGGCCATATATATATACAAACACACTCTTCTTGCATACGTACAACTCTTCTTGCATCAGAGGTTTAGTATATTTTTCTCTTATATTTATTTTATATGATATGATATAGCTTTATATCAGTAAATGATATTTTTCAATTTTATTAATATTTTTTAAATCCATGGGTTATTGATTATGCTCATCAATTACCAGTGGACATTTGGCTATCGAGACCCAATCAACTCCAAAAGGGTTAGCGCTGACCCTGTGGGAAGACCTGTTCTAACCCATGCATTACATTTTTATGCTAATTCTGTGATGGAGGAAAATAATTTTAATTTCTTAATCATAATATATTTAACAAATTGTAATTGGATATAATTAAACAATTCTACATTAATTTGGTTATATGCTTAATTTGTTGTCTGTATATTAAAATTTGGTTTAATCCAAGTATCCGGTGCACACTGGATTTGGCTACTTTTGGCGACTTTATGACGAGCAGTAAAAATGGACATATATGATGAGTAGTTAACGGGTCATTAAAAGAAAATATGTAGTTAAACATAGTATATACTATGTATACACACATAATATATAGTGTATAGTACGTTCTTTGGATCATTTTTGGTGTTGGCGATAATTTTCAAAGTCGCGCCAAGGCTGCACAGTATACTAGGATTTTACCATGATGAATATCTTTTTCAGAACTGTTGCATGTAATGAATGTTAAAAATAAATGTAATAAATAAAGGATGCATCAACAAAGATTACTAACATGATATAAAATGTAATTTGATGCTTACAACTGAAAAGAATTATTTTATTTCCTACCCAAATACTCGTATTATTCCTTATTTTGATGTTAGGTAAAATTTAATTCTTGTAACTGAACATATATTTTGTTTTATCTTGCAAATTTAGATTACTTTTTATTACTTTATTTATAACTTGTATGAATTATGCTGTTTTTTAAAACTGAATCCTCACATTACAAAAAAGTAATGTTTAATAAGAACGTGTCGTGCATTTTTGCCAGTTTCTTTTTAATGTGGTTATAGCAGGAATTTTTTTTTTATCCAAAATACAACAATTTCAGGTTCATAATAATAATCCTACATTATGGATTAATTCAGTATTTATTCATATGAGTTTTGTGAAATAATAATAAGTACTAAAATGTGAAAAATCTGAAAGTTTCTTCATGGGAAATAATTGTCAATAATTGTGAATTAAATAATTTTCTTTATGCATGATTCAATTAATTTTCATGAAGCAAATCATAATATGTATTCTCAGTAAATTTTCACAGTCTTTGAGAAACATTTACTTATTTCAACATGGGTGCATATTTTGTTTCGTTGCATCAGTTTAATAGTGATATTTTCCCATGTACATCATCATCTTCAGTACCCTTAATGGTCAAATGACCGAAATAGAAATATGAAATAGATGATTTGTGTCCAGAAATATCCATGTGTTTTACCAGATTATTACAAAATTTATTGTTCTTAATGTTATGATTATAATGAAATTTCTGTTTAATTATAATTAAGAATAAATATATAATTAAAGGGGTTTATTTTGAATTTTTTAGCTAATGTTTTATTTTAACTGCTTAACCCTCTGGCTGCTCATTCTGCAATTTACACGGTCAACTCAAATGTAGCAAAATCTGCTCATCCCATGATTTCTGTGGGCATGTGTTTTTCTTCCTTTATTGAAGAGCACATCCCGTTTTTTTCCCGTTTAACTCCTGAAATAAATTATATACAGTATTAGATGTTTAGTTTATGTTTTGGCTAACAGATATCATTAGTTGTCCACTAAATTGCAGCATTTGAAGGCACATGGTATTACCACTCAAACTCCACTTTTTTCTTACAGAAATAGCTGCTAGAAAACAATCAGCAATTATCTTGATTATTTAATTAAATTATTGAATTATTAATTAGATTTATTGATTAAGTAATAAATAGATTGATTATTAATTAGATTTATTGAATCTGGTGCAAAGACTGTGAAGCTGGACTTTGCCTTGAACCCTGTTTTGAACTCTATCATACTAAACTGCATTTCTAAGGTTATTTTTTCCTCAGTGCTTTATATTTTCTTAAATTTTATGTATTTTACTTTATTATATTACACAATAAATAGAAATGAACTGTAATTCGACTGAAATTTATTTAAAAAAAAATTTTTTTTTTGGTTATAACATCTGAAATTGGTTTTTCTGGCAACTTAGTTTCTCATGATAAAAATCTATATAAAAAATATTTCCTTGAAAGGAAAAATGCATTTTTTAATTCTCCAATATATAGAGATTTAAAATATGAAAAAAAAAAAAAAAAAAAAAAAAAACACAATTTTTTAAGCGAGTTCGGTCCACAAATTGAGCAGTCAGAGGGAGAAAGCAATTACTAAAACTTCTGGTACTTATGTATTGGCACAATCACTTTGGCTTCATTTTATAATTATTTACAGATGAAAAGGAATGATCACTTAATATTGTTGGAAATAAGAATATATTTAAAATAATTGCTCCTGGTAGTGATTTTGAAACTAAAAATTAATGTATTCTATCAAAAGTTTTATTGCAGTTTCTTCTAAGACACAAATCCTATGAGGGTGTATTTTAAAATTGAGTTTATGATATAAAAATATCATGATTTGCCCATGAAAAATGTTGGAACTTATAACACAGCAAGAAGGAAAACTAAAGTTAAAAACTGAAGCATTGTTATGTGCATTGCTGAAGTTTAATTCAGTCTGAAAATTTGATGACTTTGAACTATTCCATACATCTTTCTTCTATTTCTGCAATTTACAAAATTATTTTACAAAATTATTAAAAAAAGACGTGATTTTGATGTTTTTTTCATGTTAATCTGCATATTTTTTATGTTTTTAAATGTATAATTTCATAATTTTCCATATAAAAATTCAGGAGCATGCTATAACAATTTTTTTAATCTGTGCAGATAAAGGAATCAGTAAACCTCCTGAGCTGGTTCTGGGGTTTAAGGTCATGCTGAGAAGTTCTTCATGCAATAAACATGTTCAGGTAATTTTGTCATTTTAAAAATATGCATAAAATATATTGTAAAAGTAATCAAGTTTTATGGTACTTATATATTATCCCATAGACCATGAAACCATTGCCAAGCAACATGATAAGCACCAGTTATACATAATCGTGACATAACATCATGCTCATAATGTATATGTTTTCATTTGATGTAACTCCATTGTTTCCTAATAAACCACCATTTGTTTTTATGAATGACAATAATCAGTTAACTGTTTCTGCTGTACTTTTTCCATGTATTTTGAAAACAAATGATTAAAATTGAAGGCAGGGCTTCTACAGAATAGTAAGCAGTGGATTATTTTCAAAGTTATGGGATACTACTATAAAAAGAAAAAGGAAAGAAAGTGCATATTAATGGATACATAGGATCAACTGAATATGGTGGGCAAAACATTAATAAATTAGAGCAATTATTTATGGAAAGTTTGTACTCATAGCATTCTAAACAAAACTACTGGTAGAATCAGAGCTGCTAAAAAAATACTAGAATGTACATACATATCTCATTTTATTAAGTATTTTTACAAAGTTCAAGGAGTGATTTGAATGCTAGTTATTTACTAAATAAAGAGGTGTCAGTTCTTTCAGAATTTTTCAAAAATGGCTGGTTTAACTTGGGAGATCTCTCCAAACTTTCATGTTTCAGTAGAAGCCAACTATCATGGTCAATGAAATAATACAAGTACCAATTTTATTTATGAAGTTGAATGATAATTTTTTTAATTTTTATTTTTAGAATACTTAGAAATTAATGTTAGTATCTTTTCATTAACATTTGTTATTTTGTGGAATTTTTAATAGGAGAATTGGCAACTAAAATTCTGGTTCAAAAATGCTCATGATCATCAAAAAATTGACAGTGCAGAAGCTTTTCTCACAGAATTGGTATCATCTGGAGAATGTCCAAAAGGTACTAATTATTTTTTCTATAATTTCCTAAGAAAGCTTAGTATTAAACTGAAATGATTGTGGGTGAAGACCAAATAGTAGTCAGCTTTTATACAGTCATATCTCATTTTATTAAGTTTTAAATTTCAGAGTTTTGAATTCATTTTTTTAAAAATTAAGTTAATTATGCTTTTAATTTGCAATTATATAAAAATGTCCACCTGTTTTAAAAGAATCCTTATAAAATAGTATTACCATATAGAAAGCCAAATTTAGATTAATAATTTTACTTTGCTTTATGAATTCCAGTTTTACAGCATTTATTAGGCATAAAGTAATTCACAAAAGCCAGATAATTTAATGATTTCAGTATTTTGTTAGGAGCTCTGATTCTACCAGTAGCTCTGTTTAGAATGCTAAGAGTTCAAAGTTTCCATAAATAATTGCTCCAATCAATTAATGCTTTGCCCACCATATAAGTTAGATATTAAGTGAATGCACTTATAGCAATATGAATAACATATTTTTTAATGTTCATATGTCAATGCCAAAGCCAAAGAGAAACTACAGAGATGAATTAATTTAAATATATACCTTTAATGATTTAATTCTTATAGTTCTCAGTCATATCAACAATGTGTGTTTTAAGTTTCTGTAATGTATGATTCCTTTATAATATGTTAGTTTTGATGTTATTCATATTTAATGTTTTGCAGTTAAGTATATTTAAGACATACCGTATTTGACGGCATATAAGACGCACCCTTATTTAGAAGGCCACACACAAGGAAAAAAATTTCAATAGTTTGCGCAACAGTGCGGTACCACAATAACTTAAAATGTGGTTTCTTTTAGTTCTCATGTTTCGTAAAAGCCAAATAAACAATCATTGAATGCAATTACCAAACATATTTTTATTAAGGAAAATTAACAAGCGGCAAGCTATTTGAACATGATATGTAAATTTCAATAATGAATAAATGAATGAACAGCAAGCAATCAAACATAATACAAAAAAAGTAGAAACAACAAAAAACACAGAGTCAAAGAAAATGTTGCCTATCATGAAATTAGAATCTAATCACTTTCAAAGCCATAAAAATCCTTTTCACTATCATCATCATCGAAAACGAGAATATCGTCATCACTACTGTTTCCATCTATGTAAAGAAGGAAAGGCTCCATAGACGTAATGTGACCGTCAAACCTGTTCGACCTTCGACATCAGCGTTGACCTTTGGTGCTTTTTGACAACAGATATTTCACGCATGCACAAAATAATTATGGCAGATGTAGAAAAAGTTATGTGTGTCTAGAGCTTTATCCGGGCTAAAAATAGCATTCAGTATTGAAAGTTAACCTGTGTCCTTCACGTATAAGACTTGAGGTAAATTTTTTGAGACCAAATTTAGGAAAAAAAGTGCGTCTTATATGCCATCAAATACGGTAGTTAATATTATTGTGTCAAACATAGGATTCTACTTTTAAAAGTTTGCAGAACTTAAGCAAACAGCCTTTCATATGCTTGGTCTGAATAAAGTAATCCAGTTATTAAATCAAACCTGAGAATTTTTCAAAGCTGCTTTAGATTTTAATATAATTTTTTTACGAATATATTTGATGTGATATTTTAATTTGATTTTGAAAATTAAATCATCTTAGCTAGCTTCATCTTAGTTAAACTTGAGTACAAACTTCGATCTTAACAATTAATTTTTGGAATTAAATAAAAATTAGGCTATTAATTTTAGGAAAATTAATTAATAGCCTAGTTTTTATTTATATGCTATGCTTGATTGAGAAATAATGAGATATAGGCAAAGAAGGTTAAAAGAACTTTTTTCAATTTGTAATGGTAATTAAGATCGAAAACTTTTCTTCATTATTCATTACCTGTATTCAACTTTTCTAATTATACTGAATGATTATCTGTGTCACTTTATCAACCACACTATATGAATCCTTATGTACAAATAACCTCAAATTAAATAGACTCCTAAAAATTGTTTTGGTACTTTATGATTATCTGGTCTTTCAGATTATCTGGTAACTGTTAAGGTTTGAATATCAGTAGAAATGCCATGGTTTTGATTGCTTTTTTTGAGCATATATATATATAAAGAAATTTAGAACCAATTTTTTGAAAACTAAAAAATTGAAATTCAAATGAATGTCATCATAAAATCCTATAAATGTAGAATAAGAATATTTTAAATGTAAAATTAAAATAAATTATCACAAGAAAAATTTAAAAATATATAAAAGAACAAGAAAGAAGAGGAATCCAATCAACCTGGACATAACATGGTCAGGAGAAGATATGTCGAACTTAATTACAGTTCCCCTTCCAAAACAAAATCCTTTCCTTTCTGTATCTAGAATTAGCTGATGCACCATTTCAATATATATATATATTTTTTAATCTTATTCATCCGAAAATTCCAGTCCTCCTCAAAGTGAAGGAAAATGGCAAAAATACAAAGTAAAATCATTAAAAATATCTTCCAATTTAAAAAGACTTTTCTAATCTGAAAAGAATCTTAAATAAAAATAAAATATGAAAATCCCTTAAAATGTGGAAAAAATTAAAATCCTACAGTGAAAAAATTTCAAAATAATCTTAACACAAAACATTGCAAGAACCTCTTATCAAACAACACTGAAAGTGAAAGAAAATGGCAAAAATATGAAGTAAAATAATTTAAAATATCTTCCAATTTAAAAAGATTTTGCTAATCTAAAATAAAATCTTTAATAAAAATGGAAACTTACAATATAGGGAAAATTAAAATCTCACAGTGAAAAAAAAATCTTCAAAATAATTTTAACACAAAACTTTGTGAGAACCTCTAATCAATTACAAGCTTTTGTTTTTCTCATGAAGTTTCTTGTCGCTTTTGAAAAACTTCTTTTTATCGTTAATTTGTGAAAAGAAGAATACTCGTGAGCCCTAAAATTAATCGGTATGGATACATAAAAAAGTTTTTTTAATAGGCAGTTCTTTCTTTCTTTGGTACTTATTTTCTGTAGCAGCCTTGGCAAGAGAAAACAATATTGCATAATTCGAGCTTAAGAAAGTGCGAGTAAGTAAAGTGCATAAAAGTATTATAAGCGTGCATGGAAACGAAGTTGACTATAATTAACAGTAATTCATTTAATATCTACATAGCGTAAGCTATTTAATATATACATATAAAAGAAATCTAACACAAATTTTATTTATTATATTATTTTATACAATTTCATCAACAGTTTATTTAAAATAACAGTAATTCAGCAGAAAATATATGCAATTGATTATTGTATTTAATACAATTATAGAAGGTATTTTGTTTAAATTAACAGCATATAGAAGCATGTTGGAAAATTTTATTTATTATTAAACATAGTAGAAAATTCTGTGTACTGTTTTAGTAGCAATTTATTAAAAAGAGAACATACCAGAAAATTCATTCTTTCTTTCTTGAGCCTACAGTTCAGGAACTGCTGCTAATGATATCTCAAACATCAACTAGAGCTTTGATAGAAGATTGAAAATGGTAAACATAATGAACATTTTACAATAAAAAACATACAGACAAACAAACCTGCTATATTGACACAGTGCAATTATGAAAAACTAGTGAAAATAGTAAACATAATGAACATTTTACAATAAAAAAACTGCTATATTGGCACAATGCAATTATGAAAAATCGTTAGATCATTAATTGTTTGGTTCTCTCGCATGCACTGATTGAACACATGTGCAGATTGATAACTAATTGTTTCTTACCAATGCAGAAATGCACCAAAACAACATTCTTTCCAAAGCCATTCCAGAAGACAAGTACCCTTTTTTTCTTTCTTCTGTTTTTGAGTGAATGAATATTTTCTATTAAATTAAAAAATAGTATTGAATTTGAATTTCTAAAATTGCTTGCTCAACTGTGAGATGCATTGTAGATGTTGTACAGTCAAAAGTCGTTAATCCGGACTCGTCGGGACTTTGGTGATTCCGGATTATCGATTTTTCCGGATTATACATCATCAGTTTAAATCTGGTAAGATGGCATGCAGAAATTATAAAATTAAAAATATGAAACTGTAATTTATGAAATAAAGAACAATTATGCTCAAAAGGGTATCAAAATTTACAAAAAAAAAAAAAAAAAAAAAAAAAAAGCTTAATATTTATTTGTTTACTTTAAACATCTCTTAATAACAAATAAATATTAAGCTTTTTTTTTTTTTTTTTTTTTGTAAATTTTGATACCCTTTTGATATTCTTTAAACATTTCATTTATTTGTTTACTTTATTTCTTTATTAAACATTTCTTTCAATGTAAGTTGTTTAAGTTGCTTCGTCTTTTATGTGATAATACTTTCTCTTTAATTCTATAAACAGACATAATTTCTTGTTCAGTTACAAAGCTCCGCTGTTCAAGTCCTATAATTGCTGTGTCGAGAATACCGACTAATTTGTCAATCTAAATTTTTTCATTTTGAATAACCTCTGTGTCACTTTCTTCGCTATCGGAAGCGAATTATAATGACGAGGAATTTGATTTAATTCATATCAAAGACGGAGTACATCCAGATGAAATACTACATTTAGTAAGGAATTATAAGCCAAATAAAATAAAACCATCTGCCCTGAAGATAAGGATAGTGCTGACAGATCAACTTCCAATCCATTGTGCGCCGCGGCGTCCCCCACAACCGCAGAGCAGCATGAAATTGATAAACAGATTTCGTTCGGAATGGTTAGATAAACAAAAGATATGCCGTTATCCATTTTTTTGCAGCAATTTCACTTTTTGTTCAGTGGACTTCGAAACATACTTTTGCTTTGTAGATCCTTTACATATTAGTAAATATATATCAGAAATTCTATTTGACATAATCGAAAGTTCAAGCTTACTTTTATAAAATTGCTCTAACAGTCTGCAAAAAATAATAAGCCGGATCTAATTCGAAGATTAAGGAACAATGCAATCTGCAACATTAATTGAATTAGGTAATTTTAGCTCATCTTATACCGTCCGTTCTACATTAAACGCGCATTCGTAAACGTATTTTGCGCAAAATGTGTAGTGTATATGTTTTCTTTTTTTCATACAAAATATAATGATACAAAGGATAAGGATTGATATTATTTATTTCATTAGATGTATTTCATGCTTTCTCATCAAATTGCTTAACATAAAATTTTAATCTTAATTTTGTATTTATGGATTATTAAAAACAAAAATTTAATTGGAGTGTTAAAAACTAATCACTTATTATCTGAAGTAAATGCAGAATTCATAAGCAAATTTTATATAATTTAAAATGAGTGAAATTTATTGAAATGTATGTAATTTCTTCCAACTATAAGTTTTATTTATAATGAACTAAATCATAATAGTAAATTATAGTTCAAATTCATATGAAAATATTTGCATTCTTATAAATTACTCTTTTATATGATTTACAGATTATGTTGGATTCATTAAAAAAACAATGAAATTAATGCAAATAAAATATCCATGTGTGCAGAAAGTTGAGGTTGAAATGAAAAAGCAAGAAGAGGGGAAGCCACCATCACCTGCTCCAGGTAGATTATAGTTCTTTAGACATATAGGCAAATAAGTGGAACATTGGTGCATGCTTATATTTAGGATGTTTTGAAATAATTGACAAGCCGAGTTTAAAAAAATATGTGTGCTGGAAGAAATTAGTAAAATTATTGTACTTTATGGTATGTACTTATTTGTTGGCCATGAATTTTGGCTCCCATCAACTGTGAAAGTTAACAGAGATCTCGCCAAACTTCCAGTACTCATTTCTGCTGAATTTTAAAGGAACATATGATTGTTTTGTTTAGTTAATTGTATAATCAAAAGATATAAGTTACTGATGCAAGCCTATAAAAGAACATAAATTAATAAGAGCTTAAGCTTTTTGGTTATCTGACAAACAAATTCACTGAAACTTGCAGCAGTCATTCTCATGATTAAAAAGGATTTTTATTAGGGACTGATGGGATTTGAAATAGCTATCAAATAATCATTTTCTTTCTGACTCTGTCTCATAAATTCACTTTGACATAAACTTAATATGTGTTGTCTTGTGTTGCTGTTCTAGTAATAGATTGTAACATTGTATTTTTTTATTGAAATGGCAGATGGAAAAATTTAGAAGTACCAAAGTTATTTTGATTTGTAACTCAACTCCTTACTTATCACACAATTTTGACAAATTTTCTTCAAAAATATAGAATTTTTTTATTGATATTTATAATGTTCATAAAATTCAAATTTGATTCATGTAAAAACACTGTATTTTTTCTTAAATTTAACGGTTCTGTAAATATATAAATTTTTTTTTTATTAATTTACCTTTTTTTACCTTTTATATTTGGCTTTCGTTTTACAACCAAGCTAGGCAGAAAAATTTCAATGCGGGCATTTAAGAAATAATTGCTGAAATAATAAAAAATGTAATTTTTTGAGAGAGAAAAATTAATTATGTACACTTTAAATAATGTACACTATTATCTGAAAATAATGGTGCTTTTATTCAACATCAGTAATGGCTATAATGCTTGTATTTTTTTTTAATTAATAATTTTTTTGGTTATGAAACATAATATGCAGAGAGTTGCATTACAGTCATTACAATAATACCTTGTTTCTGTCCTAATTCTTTTTCCATTTGCAGTCTTCTTAGACACACTTTACCTTCTCTGGCAGGGGTTTCTATTTCCGCTGTAAGTGGTATAAGTTCCAAAAAATGGCGTTCAAATAAATTGATGAAGCTTCATTTGATGGACTACCGTATCTGAAAAAATGGATAAAAGTATGATATTTCTCAATTACTTCAGCGATTAAATCTAGTCTAAACTTTAAATGTGATTTTTTCCCACCTTTTTGTTTTATAAACTTGAAAAGCTTTGAAAAAAGGTGAAAGGCCTTTTTTTCAATTATATTTTTTCCCAAAGTTTCTTGCCTCTTGATGACTAGAAAGGTACTAATCCACAAGATTCGCTCTTTCCATTGTTTTATTATAGTTGATTATAAACTTTTTGGTTTTGTTTTCAATTTTTACTTCTTTGTACGAAGTAAAAAGGAAATATTGTAATCGCGAAAAGCTTCAGGCAGCATATTTCAATGAAAATATCCAATTTGACTGCTTTCGAATGCAATTTAACGATGTTTTTGTGTGATATCTGTACGTAAGGACAGAATAAAAGACTCTTTTCCTCCAAAAAAACTAAAAAACTGCTTTAAAATGAGTTCTGAAGAGAATTTTTCGTGGCGTCTCTGCGAACGTATGTACGTACGTGCGTACGTACATATCTCGCATAACTCAAAAACGAGTAGCCTCAGAACATTGAAATTTTGTATATAAGACTACTATAACATGTAGATGTGCACCTCGTATTTTGGTTTCAATCGACCGCGCCAAACGTATATATCCACTCTGTTACCCGGCTCAGTGATCTCAATTTCTTTACTCTTATATGTTTGTAAATTGTACATTTTTTGCTTTAAAAATGATTGAATTATGTTGTTTTTATCTTCCGGTTAAGGGTTTTATGCCTTTAGTAAATCTGTATGCAATATTTTTAGAATTATCAACAATTTTAAAATTGTTTAAGTGCCGCTAAGCCTAATTTGATGGCGGCCATTGCTCTTGTTTACATTTGAAACAGCTGAGTAGCGGATTTGTTGCCAATCTAGAGAAACTTTGCTTCGCAACAACAAAGATAACGCCTTAATTTATTATTTAAATCATGCTTAATCCTTTCTGGAATTTTTTTCGAGGAAATAAGCGTTTAAGATTTACTTCGTAATTTTTAATACAGATATTTTGAGTTTTTATGTATTTTTGCCTTGTCACGAAGTGAAAACTGAATTAATTGAATGAGAAATACTCAATCGTCTGTGAAAAACTGTTTCTTTTTTGTTTTGTTTGCTTATTTTCTTTTATACATAGTTCTAGCTTTATTATAGTAGTATTTGAATAGGACATGTGGCAACGATTAGATAATTCTTTAAATGATATAAATTTTGTGCATTCTGAGTTATAATATGAACGAAATATAATACTGTTAAGTAAACCTAGCACCAGAGTGTCGCTGTGGTAAACAAAGTGAATTTTAAAGAATTCTATTGTGGTTTATGCGCTGTCGGCGAAGTAGGTTTGATTCAATCTAATAAGTTTAAATACAGTGCAAAGAAAAATGCGTATAATTTAATATTCCGTACAAGGAAGTCATGTGGTGTACACATCAGATTTTTTTACTTTGTGTTACATCTACAGTTTCAGAGTTATGAAATGTTGATAGCATTGGTACTTTCTTTTTGTTGTTCCATCTCAGAGTGAGGATTTTTTCATGTCTAAATGATATAGCTTCATCAGATTTGAATTGTGTATTTTTCAATGCTTAAGGTAATCCTTTTGGTTTTATTTAACAGTTTCAGCTACATCTGTTTGATTCTGGTGAAGAATAATAATTATTTAAGGTGATGCAATAGCCTTGTTTCAATAATGGCATCATCAAAATCATAACAACTTGTGAAGCTACTGGTAGAGATCAGAATTTAGGATGAAATAAAGTACCTTTCCAATATGTATAATAAATGATCATATACTATAATAGGGTTCGCACGGTCCTTAAAAGTCCATAATTTTTTCAAAAATGATTTTTGGTCCTTAAAAGTCCTTAATTTTGGCCAAAATGAATAAACGGTCCTTAATTTTGCTCATTTGACATTTCTTATCATTTCTAATGATTGCCATTCTAAGTGTGAATTACGAATTTCTCATGAATATGGAAATTAAAATTACACGACTCTTAACCAATCTGTTGGCGGATTTGCATTGCAAACGATAAAAAAAAAAAAAAAAAAACAATTAGCCTACCCGAACGAAAGTATCGGTGGTCTGATTGGCTCTTCACCCAATCTTTAGATGAAACAGGTGTTATCCATAAATTTAGGCAGATTGTGACGAAAGCGTGAAGCCGGAAGTTCTTTAAGAGGCGAAAGTGATGATGAAGGTGCTCGAGAAAAAAAAAGGGAGGGGGATTCTGAAAATATTTGCCAAAATTAGAGCAATTCCCAACCTGGAAGGCCACAACCCTTCTGACGCCAATCGGAACGAGATGCCTGGAAAGTGCATTTTCAATAAACTGTGGTTCCTCATCAAGCTGACTACAAAGACTGGATATTGATGGATGGCAAAGCTCCTTAAAGCTAAATGCGGTCTTTGTCTGAAACAAATTGAAATTTCTAGAATGGGAGAGTCAGCGCTGAAAATTCACATGAAATTTAAGTTTCGTTTTATCATTTCAATTTGTTTTTACACGGTTTTGCTTAGCTTAATTTCTGTGTTTGTTTCAATTAAGCTATAAATTAATTTTTTATCACCTTCTATGGAGTTTATTCTCTTTTGCACATACTATATGTATTGGATATCGGATTATGAGTTTATTTCTGCAGAGGGTCTGTTATCGATTTCGCGGGAAATCTGTTGGCTCAATTTTGATTTTAGGTCGCCAAGGGCAAATTCGGTAACGCTAGCCGAGAAAAAGTGAAGTTCGGAAATACGTTTTGAAGCTTCAATAGACAATTAAGTATTTGGTTTAAACCTGTGTTGTTGATAGTAATGCATAATTTTTGCTAATGGCGATAAAATTATTATTTAAAAATAACTAACTAATTAAAAATTTTTTAATATTTTTAAAAGCTGAAAACAACTAATTGAAACTAATTTTTCGTGAATGAACTAGACGGAAAATTAACTTTCATGAATTACTAAAGTTATTGGATAGAAGTTTAACTTGAAAATATACATTCCGTATTATATATATATATATATATATATTTATACAGTACAAAGTCCAAGGTCTGGACTCATCGGGACTTCAGCGATCCCAGATTTGAGATTTTCCCGGATATTAGATCATTTTAAATCTACTAAGATGGCACGTAGAAATTATAAAATTGAAAATATGAAATCGTGATTTATGAAATATTGAAGCATTTATGATTTAAAGGGTATCAAAATTTACAAAAGAAAAGAGCTTAATATTTATATGTTTACTTTATTAAACATTTCTTTCAATGTGAGTTGTTTGATTTGTTTTCTCTGCTAATACTTTAGACTAATACTATAGACATATAATTTCTTGTTCAGTTATTAAGTTCCATTACTCAAGTCCTGTAATTGCTGTGTCGACAATTCCGAATAACTTGTCAATCAAAATTTTTTCTCGTTCAGTAATGTCTCTGTTACTTTCTTCACTATCGGTAGCTGTATTTTCTGGATTTAGAACCATACTACAGATTTCGCCCTCCGTTATTTGATTGATGATTGGGCATTGTCATCGCAATGAAAAACTTCTGTTTAACTTCGCTAAATTCTGTCGCCTGGTGCGGCCATGCGAGATCTGGCGCTGGTTCTGGCTTTATGTGAATAACAAATCAGTTATTCTTAATTCAAATAGCACTAAATATAATCATTTGTCCTATGAGTATCATTAACAAAATCTATTTTTAGCATAAGGAAAGAAATTTCTGCTAAATTTCCCCTTGTCAACATTTTAGC